AGGAAGAATCGGATGTGAAGATTGGACTTCAATTTAAATATTAATAATAAACTTTTAAACCAATTAATCTTTTGTTTGTTTTTGACGACAAACAATTATGTAATTTTATTGTTTTCTAGTAGTATAATATCGTAAGGGTTTATTAAAGTGTTTTATACAACTAGGTTAGGAGTTAGGACCTGTTTTTGCGGAGTATTTGAATTTTAAAAAGTGATATCAGTAAATGTTTATAAAAAAAAGTGATATCAGTAAATATAAAAAATTTAAACAATTATCTAAACAATAAAATTTTTAAAATATATATAGTTAGCATATATCAAAATGTTAATTTATTTTACAAAATAGAAAGAAAAAAATCAAATCAAATTTTTTAAAAAAATAGAAATTTTACTTCTTTCCTTTGCTAAACGAATTTAATTCTTCTTCCTTTTTTGTCACATAACAAAAAAATTTGTCAAATTTACTTAATTAATACGTGCTAAAATATAATAGGTTAAGTAAAATATAAAATTTTGTCAATTAAAAGATTCTTGCAAAATTCATACAAACTTTATATAATAAGAATAAGATTTAATATGAAATTGTATTTGTAATACCCGAAGAATTACTTTCTACCAAAAAAAAACGAAAAAAAAATACCCGAAGAATTATTTATATCTGGTGTGATAATGTCGTACATCGCGTGTTGGGTGGTCCTTATCTGACCCCACCTAAAAATTCTCATCGTTTCCAATTCCTGAAATCGCATAATAATCAACGGCCGAGATTCTTTTAGGTTCATTTTCTTATACCGAGATGCATTTTTTTGTATCTCTCGAAACAATTATTTTTTTAGGGAAAATTAAGAAAATAGGCCAAAATGATGCTACAAGTAATTATTAAAGTAAAATAAATGTTATGAAAGTAATCAAGAGAACGAGTATTATACTAGTAAAATCCAGTACTGAAAGACATGAAGGACCACGAACTAGAGAGAGGAACATCATGTTAAAACCTTTTCTTCCTTGGCTTTATTGGGTTATGATTATCTCTCTGGTTCCAATTTGTAACCAATAATAACAACCAGTTACTATATGCC